TATATAGGTAATGATTATAACAAATAAAAAAATGCATGAAGAATCTGCTAAAGTTAGGGTTGACATTGACTAAGATAAGAAAGAATCTTTGGGCTGATGGTGACTAAGATCAGAAAGAATCTCTGAGGTCTAAAATGGTAAGAGACTAGAAAAGCGCTGGCGAGAGAGATTTACCGTGGAGGTGATCTTCCAATGATCCTAACGGCATAAACTCGTAGACTAAGAGGCGTTGATCTCCATCAGCACAGTAACCAATAAGGTTGACTAAGTTGGGATGATGAAGAAGACTGAGCATAAGAACCTCTACCAGAAATTCTCTGTTACCTTGTAGACCATTCCTGTCCAGTTGTTTAACAGCAACAACCTGAGAATGATTAAGAAAAATAGATCAGAGGTACAACATCAATGTAATGCAAGATCATCAAGCTAAACAACTGATCTGTAACACACACGGGCAAAAGACCAAGAGTAAAAACAAAAAATGTAAAATTGTTCACCAAGTATGCAAAATTCATGTCAACATATTTAAAAAAGTCAGTCATATATTTAACACTGTAATATAGCCTTGTACAACTGGAGGATGGCGAGCAGCATCTTGCACATTCATTTCCTATCAAATTCATCATTCAAGAAAAATGTTGAAAGCTAAGAGAACATCAAGATCTTACGCTCCACTCACTTCACTTCACTTCACAAAGAGCATTCTTGAATTTTTCACATGAATTAAGAAAAAATTTCAAGCGTATGTCTTGTCATTTACCAAGACAACACTTTCTTCTTTCTTTCAAAACTACATTTAAAACTATAAAATTGGAATTCTCTTCAAAATTTAGCATTCGAAACGTATAAACAAAACTCCTTATGAAACAAAAACATCCTAAAATGACACTGATTAGAGTATATGAAGCAAAATCTCCCACTAAAATTCAATAACAACAATGTTAGAGACAGATATGTGATGTAATTTCCTTAAAATCAAACAAAACAAAAAAATACCTGACCGGTGCTGTCAAGCCTTCCTTTGTAGACACGTCCAAATCCACCTTCGCCTAAGAAAGTGTCAGGATGAAAGTTCATAGTTGCAGCAGCAAGCTCGCGAAAAGCAAATGTATGAGCAGCAATTTGTCCAAGCCCATCCCTTGGAAGCAGTAGCTCCCTTTTTGATCCTCCATTGGTCTTTGAGCTAAGCTTCTCCCCACCTGCAACGTCATGATCAAGCCCAATCAATTTACCGAACACATCCATTCACAGTCTTCTCATACCAACTTAAACTCCAAAAACAAATCATCATAAAAGCATAAAACTTGTATCAATGTCTTCAAGCCACAATTCCCAAATAACCAAATCTAAGATCTTAATCCTGATTCAGTAGGATCATGTGATCCTGATCCTCACAAGGTCCAATTTCTTTTCAACACACAAAATTTACTCCGAAGACAAGCTTGGGACTTCCCAATCAGATCAAAACAAGTGAAATTGAAGCAAAGAATCACACTTTCCCTTCATCTTTCACCAAGAAACTCGAATACAGTTGAATCAGAACATGCCCAATAGCTTAAAAACTTATCACAAACTCACATAACCAAAGTAACAGTGATTGAGATCAAGTCTTGTCAGCTTAATCAGGATCAGATAACCAGATCTTGTGGGCATGTAACCAAAGTGGATTAAAACATTAAAAAAAAAAAACACAAATGAGTAAATCAAAACCTGAAGGAAGTCCAGAAATGTTATTGGATACTGTCGGTTGTGATTGTTTCTTCTGTCCATTAGATTCAACAACTGGATTCAGCTTCTCGTCATCATCACTCGAATCAAAACACGAGAAACAACCCATCTCCTCCACTCAATTTTCCCAATAATCAAAAACTACAAAAGAAAAACTTCAATCCTACTGGGAAACCAATGAACAGGAACGATTGGATAAATATAAAAAAGCGAAACTTTTGCTACACCCAGAAAGAAAGAAGGAGAATTGAGATTCTGGGTACCAATAAAAAAACCAACTTTGTTCAGATTCCAACTCTGGTAAAAAAACGAATTGGAGTTGAGAGAGAAAGAGAGAAAGAGAAGAGAGAGAGAAAGATGAAGCAGCTTCTTTTGTCGTCCACGAGTGTTCACACTAGTGTATTACCAATTGCGAATTAACAATGACGCGTTGCGGAAACTCTCAGTAAATCCTCCTTCATTCAACACTTTTCTCGTTGACGAGATTATCTTCTATACAAGCAAGTTTACTTCTTTTCTTTTTTTGTTAATTTAAGCAAAAAATCTTCTTTCTGCTGTCAAAAAAACAAAATAAGCAAAAATTCTTTCTTTCTTTATTACTTATTTTCCTGAAAAAAAGATGGCTGGCTACACGAAGTATCCGCGAAGACATGGCCACACATGCAAAGTTTAATAATGGATCATAAACTACATGAATATGTATCGCATGCCAACATATACGAACTATATATAGTCATGTCGCCAACATCACGAACATTTTTTTCCGGTACACTTTTCGCCGGAATCCGGCATTGACCAGTTTGACCAACATAAATATTAAAAAAAAAAATTTTAGTTTTTTAATATTTAGAAAATTATGTTATTGAATCATTTATAAAAATGGAATAATTTAAAAAAAATGGCCAATATCTAAAATAAAAATATTTGGAAAAAAAATCCAAGCCATGGATTTTTATAATTAGTTAGTTTCAATAATTTCAAAACTAAACTAAAAAAAAAAAAAACCAATTAGGTAAAATAATTATAAATAGAAAGTTTTCTAAATACTCTCTAGTCGAAATTTATTTTATAATATGTTGTTAATTTTTTTATATTATTAAAAGAATTTTTCGTAATAATTTTAGATACAAAAATTAACAACATATTATACAAAAAACTTTAGACTAGAGAGTATAGAAAATTTCATATTTATAATTATTTTACCTAATTGGCTTTTATTTTATTTTTAGTTTAGCTTTGAAATTATCAAAACTAACTAATTATAAAAATCAATGCATTGAATATATATACAAAATATTTTTATATTGAATATTGTATATATTTTTTTAATTATATAATATTATAAATGATTCAATAACATAATTTTCTAAATATTAAAAGACTAAATTTTTTTTTTTTTTTGAATATTCATGTTGGTCAACGACGGTCAACGCGGATCAAACTGGTCAATGCCGGATTCCAGCGAAAAGTGTACCAGAAAAAAAATGTTCGTGATGTTGGCGACATGACTACATATAGTTCGTATATGTGGGCATGCGATATATATAGTTCATGTAGTTTAGAATCTAGTATTAAACTTTGCATGTATGGTCATGTCTTCGCGGATACTTCGTGTAGCCAGCCATCTTTTTTCCTATTTTCCTCATTAAAATGATTTGTTTGAGTCAATAAAAGCACAAAAACCTTTGGTCTCTCTTTCTTTTATGCAAAGTGCTAAAAGCAGAAGATAAACGTTTTTTTACACGTTTTTGCCACTTATAAGTTTGATTGAAAACTTTCTTATCGAAAACCCACAAAAACAGTATTGCTTCAATTATTATCTATTACAAAAAAAAAGAACTAGAAAGATAAATAAAAACATTTGAAAACAAATGGTAAGGACGATGATGGAGGTTGCATGGAATCAGAAGCGGGTACGCGGAAGCGAAGCGTTTAGAAACGTGGAAGCGATTTTTATAGAAATTATAGAAAGTGGATACGTGTTGGAAGCGTATATAAAAATTAATATATATATATATATATATACATATATAACAAACATTAAACATTATATCATATAAAAAATTATAATTAACATACAAATCTAATACATAAATTCTAAATATCTCTCTATATTTAAAAATCAAATAGTGTACGTTTACAATAAAGAAAAGTCAAATAGTTCAAAGTCAAAAATTTAAGATCATTCTTCATTCTCATTTTACTAATTCCATCAAATAAAATTGTTTTAAATTTTTTTACCAATAAAAACATCATCAAACTCAAATTTCTCGAAATTAATTTAATTCAATTAATTCTTTCAACATCTCCCTAATAAATGATCCATGCTTCTATCATTTTTCTAACTATGATATTTAAAAAAATAAAATACAAAATTAGTATGCAAAATTAGTTTTGGTTTTTCTTTTGTTGTATAAAAAAACTATAAAAAATAATTTCATATTTCTTATTTATTTTGTGACATCAAATTTTTTAATGGAATCGCAAGCTTCCAAAATAGAATCGTAAGCTTTCAAGGAGCTTCCAAAATGAATTTTTTAGAAACGTTATGGAAGCGAGATTCCGAAAACTTCCGAGAGCTTCCGATTCCGACTAAGATTCCGAAACGGGAAGCGGACGTCCGACGAAGCTTCCGTGCTAGCCGGAATGATGGTTTCTTAGACGTGATTTTTTGCCGATTTATAAAAATTGTTCTATGTATTTTATGGTAAACATCTATCTAATAACTAGACTTATTTCATTATGTGTGACAGATGTATATGATAAAATCATATTTCCCCAGTTTCCTTTTATAAAGATGTTTTCGATTTTTTTTTTTTTTTTTAATTTCTATAAATAGCTTTTGGTCAAAGGAATTCAAAAAATCAAAAAAAACATTCTAATATGTTGTCATTTAGTCACCAAATAATTGTTTGAACTCATTTACCCTTGTAAAAAAATAAAAGTAATGATAGTGTTGAACTCATGATCTCTTATAAATCTCTTTGGTTGTCAGTCAAATCTTCACTCTCACCATGACCTTCACCTATTGTAGTTGTGCGATAATTACCATTGATTGCACAGAATGACTTCTGCTTTTACCTCAGGATCCCCTATTTTCTATAGCAAACTCTAGATTCATATTTGCAAAAAAGAATAGCTTAGGTCTTGAAGCAGAGAACGTAAGTATAGCTTGCATTTTCATGTCTCCACCTAGATACTTCTATTTATAGTCTCATATGAGAGAATCAAATATTTAATAGCGCTTATCAGTTATATAGTCAATTAAAAAAATGGAATTGACATTAATCATCCCTAATAATTGACTATCAATCAAAACGAATTAACTTGCAATCAAACTACTGTCTTCTTGATTGATTTGACAGTCAACCTCCGATTAAGATAAAGTGTCATTTACCAATCAAACGATGTTCTAAAACTATTTCATAGAATTCCTGAGCTTCTTTTAGGATTTCATAAAACATACTTAATTTTGAATCATAAAATATAAGAGTTGTAACACTTTTTGGAATCTTATCGATGATGGATGATTAAATTTTCCGTTCGTAGATCCTTGATCGTCAGCCTCAATCAACGATTATATCATGTTCGTCAAATACATGATTGGTTTGACTAAAACTTAGATGCACAATTTGCTTGAATTGCGGAAAAACATAAGAAGTGATTTTGGAAACACATGAGATTCTTTTTCGTAATTTTACAATGAAAAGAAGAGTATATCGATTTTTGTTCTAATACCATGTTGAGGATCGTAGCAAGTCTGGGCCTTGGCTAAATCATAGTAGACTTTAATAAACAAACATCAAAGTAACAGAAAAATGATTAAACACGAAATGAAATTTCATATAGTTTTATCCTTCAAAATAGAAAAAGAAAAACAAATAAAGGCCTCAATATTTTTATCTTTAGGCTTCACGTGAGTAAAGGCCGGCCCTGCACTCACAATATACTCTGGATCACAGTATCATTGTAGCCCAAATATAAACTAAAATTGCTGAATAATATATTTCAACATATTTTCCAACATAATATTAATAATAATCAGGTTGAGTTTGATTAATTCCTTAATAATATAAAGTACAATAATAAAAAAAAAAAAAAAGAGAGATCGTGAGACGCATAACCTTTCCATTCTCGGTCAACGGCCAATGGATACCCAAAAAAACGAACCTCAGAAATAAAAGAAAATATATATAATAACTAAAACAGAGAAAAATTCACAATTAGTATCGTCGAAGAAGAAAGAAAGAAAGAAAGAAACTCTAATAATGGATTAATAAAGATAATCCTCACGCTAATCTCCTCCCTTCGTCCCATATGTTCCCATCTTAATTTCCTCAAAAACCAAAAAAAGACCAAAAAAAAAAAAGAAAAAACAGAAAAAAAATCAGTTAGATAGGGTTTAAAAATTTCCCGGCGAAAAATGGAGAAAGCTGGAAATCATCACGCAAATGAATCATCGGAAACTCATGTTCACAAATCTGACGATCATGAGAATAAACAACATTCCGATGAATCGGAACAAAAACTGCATTCATCGACGCCGGAATCGGAATCCTCGGAACAGAGCCTTGTTCAGGTGATGGAGGCCGTGGACGATTTCATCAAAGCACTTTCAGCCGAGAAGGATCCGCCACGGGAGATTCCTCCGGCGGTGGAGCCATTCCCTGAGAGGGTGGATTCATTGGTGTCAAAAATGGAATCTTCTGGGCTTGGGAGGGACGAAACAGAGGACTCTGTATTCATCGACGCCGTTAACCGGATTTCGAAATCGGTTATGAGATTGAGGGAGCTTAAATTAGATTCAACTCCGGTCTCTTCTTGGTTAAACCGGGCGAGTTCGGTTCAGCATCGTGCTGTATCTCTTCTCGACGAAGAGTTTCGTCATCTTCTAGATCGTTCCAGAGAGGAGAAGAAGAAGAACATCAACGACGGGAACAACTCCGATCACAACAATTCTTCAACTAACGAATCGGATCGATGCGTTTTACAAGACCAGGAAGAGGAGGAGGAAGAAAGTTTCCCGGATTTTCCACCGGAATCGATCTCGACGTTGAAGAAGATCGCCGGAGCGATGATCTCCGCCGGTTACGAAGCAGAGTGTTGTATGTCATACGAAATGTCGAGACGGCACGCGTTCAAGGAGGAGCTACGCGAGGTTGGATTCGAAGGGATCAACGTTGAAGACGTGCAGAGAATAAGTTGGGAATCTCTCGAAGGTGAAATCGCTTCTTGGATCTCAATCGTTCGCCGTTGCTCCACCGTGCTTTTCCCCGGCGAGCTTTCTTTATGCAATGCGGTCTTTCCGGATCAAGATCATGCCTCTATTCGTAAACGCCTATTCACCGGTTTGGTCTCTGCTGTTACAATCCGGTTTCTTGATTTCTCTGGTGCGGTGGTGCTGACAAAACGGTCGTCGGAGAAGCTCTTCAAGTTCTTAGACATGTACGAGACGCTTCGTGATTTGATTCCAGCGGTGGAACAATCTGATTCAGATTTGATCCAGGAGATTAAATTGGCTCAGACGAGGCTAGGTGAAGCAGCAGTGACTATATTCGGAGAGCTTGAGAAGTCGATCAAGAGCGATAATGGAAGAACTCCGGTACCGAGCGGCGCGGTTCATCCATTAACACGTTACACCATGAACTACCTCAAGTACGCTTGTGAGTACAAAGAAACATTAGACCAAGTGTTCCAACACTATGAATCTAATCAAACAGATAACAAACCTGAACCAGAGACCAAACCAAAGCAGCAGCAACGAGAAGACGATGAAGAGTACAAAGTGTCAGCTTTTGCTAGACAAATGATAAGGGTGATGGAATTGCTTGACGCAAATCTTGAGATCAAATCGAAACTGTACAGAGACCCATCACTGAGATACATATTCTTGATGAATAATGGAAGATACATTCTTCAGAAGATTAAAGGGTCGATAGAGATAAGGGACTTGATGGGACAGTCATGGACAAGGAAAAGATCGACGGAGCTGAGACAGTATCATAAGAGTTACCAGAGAGAGACTTGGGGGAAAGTGTTGCAATGTATGAATCAAGAAGGGTTACAAGTGAACGGGAAGGTGTCGAAGCCGGTTTTGAAGGAGAGGTTCAAGATTTTCAATACTATGTTCGATGAGATTCACAAGACGCAGAGCACCTGGATTGTGAGTGATGAGCAGATGCAATCGGAGCTAAGGGTGTCGATCTCGGCGTTGGTGATTCCAGCATATCGGTCTTTCTTTGGGAGGTATAAGCAACATCTTGATTCAGGGAAGCAGACGGATAAGTATGTCAAGTATCAGCCTGAGGATATTGAGTCTTTCATTGATGACTTGTTTGATGGCAACCCTACTTCTATGGCACGCAAGAGAAATTGATAACTCCTCTATGATGAGAAATCCTTACTTGTTTTTCTTTTGCTTCTTCTTTTTACTTCAATCCTTCTATCATTTATCTTTCATTACCTTCATGTTTATAGAACCCATGAGAAGCTACCGTGAAAACTTTTTGGTTTTTTCTTTTTCTTTTCTTACTTTTAAAAGTTTGAGTTTTTTTAATTATTTTTCTTACTGTTATATGTCTATGTTTTTGATGTCCTGTTTCAACAGGTTGTGAGCGAAAATTGTTTAGAACTACTTAGGGTTAAAGGCACGGAATTATCTTTAAAATGTTTATTTTGAATTTTGTGATTTAAATGATAATAAACTCATGATTAAGTTGATCTTGTGATATATTCGAGGTTTTTGTTATAATGATCCTTGGTGATCTTATATGGAAGTTGATGATGTGATCAAGAGTTTTACTTAGTATTTGATAAATACTGAAAGATGGTGAAGTGTTGCGGTAATTGTAGCATGGATGTTCAATCCACAAATGACCAAATTATTACGCACTAGAGTCTAGAGATGCGAGAATCGAGCTAAGTTAAAACTAAAAACATAAACAAGTAAGGAAGAAATGAGAAAGGCTTTAGACATGTCTCTTAATTTCTGAAGGTATGAGCTTAGATCCCTATAAGTTCAAAATTTTATCATATGAGATGGCTGATAGTTTGGCGTTATTGAAGGCTTGAAGCCACACACAACCCCAAGAGTTTCATACATTTATAGAAGCAAAGTATGGACATAATTTGGCTGGCTTTATCTGAATTTCCAAGTCTTCCCAAGAGTGGAGTTAGGTAAAAGACTTGGCTCACAAGAAAGCAGTAAAACCCTTTAATCAACCAAAACAAGTATGTAGATAACTGTCATTATTTCAAAAAAGCAGAGAGACTTTGGCTCATAAAATGTTGGGTTAGAGATCAGAATAAGTAAGAAAAGAGAAACTCTTTGGGTAAAGGATCCAAAAGAAATTTCTTCTACATGATCATTTCTCACACTGTAACACCAGAATGAGCCAAAAAAGGCTCTTCACATGTCTTTGTTTGGTAGTGGAAAAAGAATTTTAGTTAAACAGTGTGGTTGGGGTCAAAAATAGATCACGGACTGAATATATTGCAATCACACACACATACACACATTATCATCAAAAAGAACAATAGAGAGAGCGAGTGAGATTAGCCACAATGTATTTTCCTCTCCTCTATCTTCTGCTTCTGTCTTCTTGCTTGACACATCAAGCTTTAGGCCATGGGCGTGGCCGGTCACCACCGGAAGGAAGCTTGGACCCTTCTTCTCGCATCACTGTCGTCGGAGTTGTCTACTGTGACACGTGTTCTATCAACACTTTCTCAAGACAGAGCTATTTCTTACAAGGTCAGAGATCTTGAATTAACATTACATGAACTCTCTCCTTCGACTGAAACTTATCTGGTAACTTAGGATTGGTCAATTTGGTAATTCAATTTTTGGTTTATGAATATAGAAACTGAAAGGATACTGAGTACCATTTCATTCGGTTTGATACAATTTCGGTTTCCATGCACAGTTACTTAGAAACAGAGCTTTCTTGTTTGGTCACTAATAGAACAAACAAAACTGAATCAGCTATATCTTATCTTTGATTTGGTTTTAAGATTGGTTTGTCAGTACAATTCCGGTTTAATTTGGACGGTTAAGCAAGTCTCTGTTCTCTCTCAGGTGTGGAAGTCCATGTGACCTGTAGATTCAAAGCAAGTTCACCAAAAACAGCAGAGGAAGTGAACATATCAGTAAACAGAACAACAAACAGAAGCGGCGTGTACAAGCTCGAGATCCCTCACGTGGATGGCATCGATTGCGTCGACGGGATTGCCATAGCATCTCAATGCAGCGCCAAGCTCCTCAAAACCTCCGACGACGACAATGGAGGCTGCAGCATCCCCGTTTTCCAAACTGCAACCAACGAAGTATCCATCAAATCAAAGCAAGATCGTGTCTGTATCTACAGCTTAAGCGCACTCAGCTACAAACCTTCCCACAAAAACACATCATTGTGTGGAAACGGCGGGAAGAAACATCACCGAAAGGAGGAGAAAGTGGAGAAGAAATTTAGAGATTCGAAATTCTTCTGGCCTTATTTGGCACCGTATTGGTTCCCTTGGCCGTATCCGGATCTACCTCCATTGCCGACTCTACAGCCGCTTCCATCTTCCCCTTTCCCTTTTCTACCTTTCGGAAACCCGAATCCAGCATTGCCGGCTTTCGATTGGAAAAATCCGGTCACTTGGATACCTTATCTTCCACGTTTTCCTCCAGGAGATCATAATCCTTAGGAATAACCAGATTCTTCCCTTTACCTCCACATTTGGCTTCCTCCTCTATTTTTAATTTTCTTGGTGATCACCTCTGTTTAGGGTAGATCGTATGTGTTTTTGTGGTTTGTACTTACTAATGTGTAATTATTCTTCAGTTACAGAAGATTAAGAATTGGTTTAAGGAGGGGACAGTTTTGATGGATTTGATATAAGATACAAGATTGCATGCTTGACCTTGATTAGCAAAAAACCACTGCATGCTTACATTTTGAGTTGGGGTCTTTCACAAAAGTCCCTAAGTCTACTAAAATATACATTACATTCTGCCTATTGCTAGAAGTTTATGTACAACCCTTAAAACTTAAACCAAAAAAAAAAACAAACTAGAAAAGAGTACACACTTGAAACTGTGCTTCAGTGCTTACAACATGCGTTTTCCTTTGAAGGTCTCCACTTGCTTCCTTAGCCCATCGATGACATCAGAAGCATCCTATTTCATTACCAAATCATTTGAGTATATGCGTAGAGATATATGGTAATTGGTAAAATTATAAAAGGACTAACCCGTAGTTTCCTCCTTAAGCCATCCTCAGTCACATCTCTGCGGGCTCTTTCTTGTTGAAAAATTGTACTCACTCCCTCCTGCCGATTTTCCAAGTTTTGGATCCTAGCCTTCGACTCCTTAAGCTGGTTTCATTATTTTAAACAACGACATTTACTATATATCGCCAAAAACCTTAAAGAGAATTTTGTAAGATAAAAAAACTTTACTTGCAACTCAAGCAGTTCTTTCTCCCTCTGCGCCTTTTCCAAGTTTCTAATCTTAGCTTTCGACTCCTCGAGCTGGTTCAAAATATATCAAACGATGTAATTCACTATCGCCAAAAAAATAATAAAGACAATGTTGTAAGAATTAAAGGTTTACTTGCAACTCAAGTAGTGCTTTTTCTCTCTTTAACTCAGAGACCAGTTTTGCTGATTCCTGTTTCACCCTCTGCAACTCTGCTTCTAGATTAACTGAGCCTGTTTCTTTGAAACTACTGTATAAGAAAGAATTCCGATTAAAATAGTCCCGACGATAACATTATATCGGAATCAGAGGAAACATCAGAGAGAAAAAAAAAAAAAAAAACCTTGTCCCAAGCCCATGGTTTCCGATTGTAGACCCGATTTGAGGTTTTATATCATAACTTCTTTCTCGTGTTTCAACCTATTTTGCAGCAAGATTGATTAGAGGTTCAAATATTATGACAAATGATGATTACTAAAAGAAGCTTTTTTCAACCTGAGGGCTTTGGTTTCTTCCAGATGGTTCAACATATGTCCTGAATGGAGCCGGTGCTGGAGTAGAAGAAGATGCCTTAACAACGTTTATGTTATTGAAAGGTCGAGTGGTTTCTGTAACGCTACTTTCATAATTCTTTTGTTTCCTTCTTGGAGCATAACCAATCTCGTGACACCTTGAAGACCTATCAAACAAAAAGATAATAACTTAAGAGAAAGTCCAACACCGCAGGTCTAGTAGTAGAGGAGAGAATATGTAATAATACCAATAGTTCTTTTGGTGTTGGATCAATCGGTTTTCGAGTTTAGAAAGAACGACGGTTCGCTCAAAACCTTGCTTATTATGAGCTGGTTGTATGAAATTAGCTTCCAAAATTCCAATAACGCCACGTCCATCACTTCCAGCAGCATTCCAAACCCTCCAAAATGGCTGAAGAAAAAAAAAAACAGAAATTTAAACAATGCAGTGAAAATTATAACCAACAAGAAACTATATGACAAGATCATCTGTGGATTATTATAAGTCACCTTGATAAGCCGGTTCTTATGGTAAACATTGAACCCTTGTATGTCGATGTGATGATGAGCATCTTTCACAAAGCCAAGCTTTAGAGAAGCAACCATCTGGATTTTTTTTTGAAAACATGAGAAATTTTAAAGATTGTTTTAAGATTATGAAAAGTGACACTAAGGTAAGGTATTATATTACCTCGTCTTGATCTGGCCATTCTGGAGAACGCGTAGGTTTGTATGTTTTCTCATCGGTCATCATCATGTCGTCTAAGATGCTGTGATATTCGACATCTTTGCCACGAAGAATGATTCTGAAATTATCCGGATGTTTGAGATACAGAATCGATGCATAACTCTACATAAAGAAAAATCCAGGGACTCGTTAATGAATACTTGAAGAAGAAGAATTAACAAATTGGAATGTGTTAAGAAGCATGAAACCGCATACACGTAGTGAGTGTCGATAAGTCAGGAAATGCCTCGAGTTAGGATAAGTTTTCGCCATTTCGATGTTCTTTTCATCTCTGTTTACACCTCTGAGTTGAATATCCTGTAGACAATACACACATCATCATATGTTACATATATTAATTAGTCCCAAATTGACTGTATTAATTAAAAAAGTCTAGGTAGTGATATTACATGAGGATCTGTATCAAAATCAAGTTCCAGCTTCCCTTCATCATCCTCCCATAAATTATAAATCACGATCCGAGTACCTTGTTCTTCTAGGTGATTAAACTGTACCATTCAACAAGTATGAGATACAAAATAAAAGGTAATTTTGTGATCGAAATAAAGGATATATAACAAACCTGGTCCAATAAATCTTGTTGGGATAGATACGGCGACCACCTCACTATAGTCTCTAAATTATCAACCCACTCCTCTGTGGAGTTATAAACTATCTCCTTCCATTTGTTATCTACCAACTCAAAATCAATCTAAGCAGAGGAAAAAACCAAAGTTTTAGACTTGATGTTTTAAGAAGAAGAGCAATCTACACAAGACATAATTTTACTTGTACCGTGGGGACAATTGCTTCACATTTTCTTGTCTCGTAAAGAAACGTATATGATAGCATACCAATGCTCTGTGTCGGACTGAAACAGTGATAAGAAACACACGGTTAAACTCGAAAATACGAAAACAGAAAAATTTAAAAACCATACTGATGTTGTGAAATGACTCACTTGTTTCCATTGATTCCTCGACAACGTGAGAAGACAATTGCATCAGCACCAAGCCTCATTGTACTAGTTTTGAATCCATTCCCATCTTCATTGTTTGTTTTATAGATTTGAAGATTAGTTAATGCTAATAGAAAAGCTAAAACTAAAGATGATGAATTTAAGAGGCTTACATTGACCAACTCTATTAACCAGATTGCGTTTCCTTGAATACCCCAAAGAAAGGAACTCTCTAAACGTACTCGGATTCATCCCACCTCCATTGTCTGCATTGCAAAACCCGCCGAATCGGTTAGCGGTTTTACAATCATTTTTAAAAAGCATTGATTGTATCATCACAACTCAGAAGTTTAATTAACCTTCAACTATAAGAATGCTGCTTTTCCCGTCTCTTTTATTGGTTGTCGAATCAACATGAACATATGTAGCCCCATTACTTACCTGCGTTAACAATTTATCAAACATAAACTTATGTTATACAAAACCATACGAACTATCAACTCTATAATTTTAAATATATAAATTAGCGAAAACAAATTGACCAATAAAGACTATTTCTTGCTATGGAAAAAAATTAAGTATCAATTTTTTGAACAAAGATGAAATATATACATACCTCGTCAAGAGAATTGTCTAGAAGTTCAGCCAAAGCTCCAAGAGCCCATTTGTGGCTTGTGGCGTTTGCATGAAGAAATTGAGGATGAACCCTAACCGCCGCATCATTGCTACCTACTTGCATGCAACAAACAATTCACACAAATTAGGGTTTCAAATCGCAAGAAAGATCACAAATTCTCTTATAAGATCGAGATAAAGTGTCAATTACAATAAAGAGGTACAGGCGCAGCTTCGTCGTCGTCACCAGCTTTCCAAAACTGTCTAGAGAGCTTTGGAGTTTCCGGTTCCACAATCGCCAATGGTTTCACATCCAAAGGCACGATTTTTTTACAACCCTGAGAGGTATTCTCTATCGTTGTAGTCCTCGATTTCTTGATAGAAAAGTTATTAGTATCATCACCGTCCTCATAGTTTCTTAAATCTCTCTTGAGTCCACCGAGAGCCGAATCGGGAACCACGGATTGGGATTTAGGGTTAGTACTGCCAGATTCGGCCATGCCTCCGACTAATAGCAGCGGTTTGTTGAGCTTGATTTGAGAAGAATGCCCTGGCTGCAGTAGAAGCTTCTAGGGTTTTGAAGCAGCTTGAAGTTGGAGAGAGAGAGAGAGAGAGACGTGAGACACGACTCGGAGGCTTCAAGTAGTGGGAGCGTCTTTATAGAAAAAGAGTGGCGCGACTTACAAATAAACCGTCCAGCTTCCCGGGCCCAATTACGTTCACAGGCCCATCTGCGCTATCAAATAACACCCGTAATTAGTTTTTGACATTCCCTCTTTTAGATTTGACATATATTTGTTGTTTTTTAGAGCTGATCATCGGAAAAATTAATCAATTTGTCTTCTAAGAAATTTCCAATTTGTTTTCAAAATTCTAACAAATAAAAATTTGCCATCCTACAATATTGCAATGCTCTGAAAATTGTAAGAAAGATTTTGAATCACTTATATAGATTATAGATATTAAAACATGAAGTTGGATTTTAAAATCAAAGTTCAGTTTTTTACAAAAGAAATTTTTTTGAAAATTTTCTCAAACCTGAATCGAAAAAACAAGAACCAATGTTTGGATTTCTGACTTCCACTAAAATCTTGAGTAGATAACAAAATAACTTGAGCGATTCTAAGGTCGGCGGCTACCAAATTACAAGGTGTAGTGAGAAGAGTGATTTAGGGTTTCCCATGAAAGCTTATATTTATATTACTATTAATCATTAATTTTTACTAATTATTTTTTGTTTTTGTCAACTTTTTTATAACTTACCTTATTTTAGAAATTTCTATTAAATTTAAAAAAAAAACGACACTCTCGAGAAAAACACAATGCAAGTACATACAAGTTCAACACGTGTATTTCTATTAGGGTTGGTCCAATAGATTTTATTGCCTAAAGCAAAAAAAAAAAGTCTTTAATCCCACTTTTTAAAAACCCTTTTTTGAAAAATCACAAATTATCAGTTTTGATATTTGAACTTGTTACTAATTCATGTATGCATAGTTAACCACTGCACTACGCTAAGTTTAACAACTGAACTACACTCCGTTTACAAAAATTGATGTCGGTTACTATTATATATATGATTTTTTTACGCCTAAAGCAAATGCGTCAATTTATCATTTTCTTTTATATGACTAGGTTAATTTCCGCGCGATGCATAGTTTGTTTTAAAAAAATTATTATTGATTTGTAATTATGATTTGATTCTAAATAAATATCAGAAAATAGTGAACACACTTTCTAGGTTTGTATCGTATTTTATCAGATTAGTGTCATTTTGATACGATGAATTTTTCTTTAGTCGAAATGGCTTTTAGTTTTGTTATATGTTTTGCACCTTGCATAGGATCGGTTGACCTGACCCACTCAAAATTGACTCTATGCGAAGCCACGTAACCGGCCGTGGCATAACTGTAAAATTAACCATCGAATATTATTTCTCTCGGACTCTTTCGTGCTATATCACTCATCGTCGTCACTCACCTACCATTTTTGAGCTCCAATGGCGGCCTTATCGATGACTCTGGTGCGTTTTATTTTTCCTTTTATACTTTTGATTTTGTGTTACCTTTCCACGTCTTCTTCCTCTTCTCATGCTCCTATCTTCGGTATCATCGTAGTCAAATCCGAAGTCGCTCTCAGCTGCTCCACGAAGACTTTCTCCGATCAGTACCTCCGCTCTTACATCTACCTCTTTCCGATTGCGCACCAAATCTTCCTTCGATTCAATCTCTTTCTCGTCTTCAACTCCCTTCTCCGCCTCATCGCTCCTCCTTCACACGTCTTCTACCAAAAGAAACCACCGCTGTTTCTCGATTCAATCCAATTCTGAGGTTAGTTAGGGATTCTCTCATCGAGCCGCTGATGTCATTTGATGGAATTGATTGTTTCATTCAGCTTACTCTTAATGTGGATTTTGTATTCTTCAGATTGTTAGCGAACCGCAATCGAAGATAACACACAAGGTGTATTTCGATATAAGTGTTGGAAATCCAGTGGGGAAGTTAGCTGGGAGGATTGTTATTGGATTGTATGGTGATGATGTTCCCCAGACTGTGGAGAACTTTCGTGCTCTATGCACTGGTAGGTCCAATTGCACAACTTGTTGTTTATATGTTAGTGGGGGACTTAATCCTTTGATTGATCTTACTCAGGTGAAAAGGGATTTGGCTACAAGGGTTCTACATTCCATCGTGTCATCAGAGATTTCATGATTCAGGGAGGAGACTTTGATAAGGGGAATGTGAGTTTTTCTGGCTGTATCCTTGACAGCACGAGTTTCTATTTTTTGTTAGCTTCATCTGGGTCCATGTTCTGTTTCTATCTATCTACTTTGGTTCATCTCTTGAAGGATATATTCTTCACATTATTGCATATCTCGAATTTATAAGCAGAAAATTCACCATCCATTACTGGGTGTGTGCTGAGCTCTTTAAAAGATAGAATGAGCCAAGTATGCTCCTATCCAAAAATCTCTTTCTGACTTCCATGGAGTTCCTTGAATCCTCCCACTCTATATGTTAATAACAGTGGGTAGAATGTAGTTTCTGCCAAATCTCAATGTTAATTAAGCTGGCTCATATCAGGATGGCAGGATGTATATTAATTTCTTGTATGTGGTACATAGTATAAGTCAAATCTTGCTTGATAAGGAAGGATGCTTGAGTTTTTACTTGTGCGGATTTAGAGTCGCTGTTGAAAAGTGCATGTTTGGGTACATTAGTAGGAAAAAGTCTGAGCTATGACAATCTTTCTATAGACAATCTCTGATAGCTGGCTCTTTGATTTGTAGATCACTTTTGTTAATCTTAGACTTTTGTTCTTTGTTATATAAATAATACCTGGGCTTGAATAGGTGTGGTAGGGAACTTATATACTGGTTCTTGGATATGCAGCTAGCTGTGGGTCTTTTCTGCATGCCTCATTAGAAATATATTGTTATCTTCTGTTTCTGCACATCTCAGTTACCGAATGTCCTTCTAGTGCTAGCATAATTCCATAATAATGATACAGAAGTCTAATTGTTGAGCAGGGAACTGGAGGTAAAAGTGTATATGGCCGTACATTCAAGGATGAGAATTTCAAGTGTAAGTCTATCCTTTTTCACTTGTTTCCTTCTTCTTCATTCTCCCCAGGTGGGCTTTGGCATTCATATTTATCAGTGGTAATGCATTTTAACTAAACATTTCTGCATTCTCTTTTTAGCTGAGCTGAGTATATATACCAAACCTTCAGTTTATAAAATTCATGAAAGTAATAATGTGCAATACGCTGCAGTATCCCATGTCGGACCAGGAGTTCTGAGTATGGCAAATGCTGGCCCTAATACAAATGGAAGTCAGTTCTTTATCTGCACTGTTAAGGTAAAATCTCCCTCTGTTTTGTCCTATTGTTAAATTAAAAGTTATAAGTAGGCAAGAATCTCACTCACTATCATCCTCGAGCATCAACAATCCCTAAGAATAATACCATCCAAGCTTTGTTAGGAAGTTTAGTGTATATCAAATTAATATGCGAAAACGATGTGGACAGACGTCATGGTTGGACGGAAGGCATGTGGTGTAATAGAAGGAATGGAAGTGGTGAAGCTGATAGAGGAACAAGAGACAGACAGAGGAGACCGTCCCAGAAAGAAAGTGGTGATAGCAGACTGTGGTCAACTTCCAATGTCTGAAGCTTAAAAGTAAGATCATTAACCAAAACCTTGTAGACATGAGATGGAGCCTGTGTTTGCATTTTACAACCCTTTCTTTTGTGTAATGGATTTGTATCCCCTTCTTCCTGACCTGCCAAAAATTTAAGAAAGAAATAGGTTTGAACTCAGATTTCATTTCATTGGTTTGTTTTGAAATTAACCAATGTGTTATAGCGGTTCAGTTGCATACGGGCTACGGCATGGGCATACTAAGATCAAAATCTCAAGATTCAAGAGTAGACTCGATTATGCAAATTGTGCAGATATAAAAACAATAATTAATTAGAAAAATATTCCACTGCCAGGGTTTGAACCCGGATTTCATATTCATTAGTGAAATTAACCTGTGTGCTACAACGGATTTGTTGAACCTTTATACGAGTGATTTATATTTAAAATCCAATCTCTTATTAAAAACAATAACTAAGAAAAAAAAGTATTCCGCTGCCGGGGTTTGAACCCGGATTTCATTTTCATTAGTGAAATTAACCTGTGTGCTACAACGGACTTTTTGAATATCTATACGAATGATTTGTATTTAAAGTCCATTCTCTTATTAAAAACAATAACTTATTAAAAAAAAAATTTCGCTGCCGGGGTTTGAACCCGGATTTCATTTTCATTAGTGAAATTAACCTGTGTGCTACAGCGGACTTTTTGATTATTTATACGAATGATTTGTATTTAAAGTCCAATCTCTTATTAAAAACAATAACTTATTAAAAAAAGAATTCCGCTGCCGGGGTTTGAACCCAGATTTCATTTTCATTAGTGAAATTAATCTGTGTGCTACAGCGGACTTTCTGAATATTAATACGAATAATTTGTATTTAAAGTCCAATCTCTTATTAAAAATATTAATACGAATAATTTGTATTTAAAGTCCAATCTCTTATTAAAAACTATTACTAATTAAAATGTATATTCCGCTGCCGGGGTTTGAACCCGGATTTCATTTTCATTAGTGAAATTAACCTATGCGCTACAGCGGATTTTTTGATTATATATCCTATCAATTTGTATATAAAGTCCACTTTCAGATTAATGACCAATACTTTTACTTGTACCTATCACATGCTTGTATTTTAGTGTTCTTTCTTCTTGGTCAACCTTTTCTAGATACAAGATATCTCTGAACACTACAAGAGCATAAAAGACATTTTTCTTGAAGAGAATAAGAGAAACCCCTTTGGTTTATTTATTTAAATGGTACATAACCAAATTGCCCAATTAAATCTGTAAAAAGAGGCGTAGAAAAAGCTTGAATCCTAGATAAATCTATATCAATGTAAAAATAGAGATAACACAACAGAGAATATGTTTTACTGGTCAATACTGACGTCACCCCATTGCACCTTGTGCTTAGCAGCTAGATAGTGAGCACCAACAGGACCACGGCTACCATAAGGATAGTACTCAGGGATTCTCTTCTTCTCTTCTATCTCTTTAAGCAATGGAGTGAATAGAGACCAAGCTGCATCAAGCTCATCACTTCTTATGAACAACCTTCTTTCTCCTTCTATTGCATCTAACAGAAGTCTCTCATATGCATCTGGTATCTCCTTTGAATACCTTGCTGAGTATAGAAGATTCAAGTTACTGCGATCTAATCTCATTCCTAAACCAGGGACCTTGTTGTTGATTTTCAAATAGATTGCTTCATCTGGTTGGACACGGATCACAAGCTCATTTGTAGCTTGATCAAGATCAGAACCAGTATTCCGGTTATACAAATTCCCCGGAACATGCCTGAACTGCACCCTTATCTCTGCACTGTAATTTTACTTATCAGTAAATGTCAATATGCAAAATTTCAAAAGTTTGAAGTTCTAGGCATCTACCTCCTGGTGTGTAGTGCTTTGCCAGCTTTCATTAAAAAAGGGACACCATCCCATCTTGCATTGTCGATGAAAAGAGCAGCAGCTGCAAATGTCGGAGTCAGACTACCTTTTGGTACAGTTTTATCATCGGTGTAGGCAGGATATGTGACTCCTCCCTTTGTGTGGCTCTTGTATTGTCCAATTACCACATCTTCAACTCGAATTGGCCTCATTGAACGTAACACCTTAACCTGAATTGTGCACGAGACTTTCATTATATGTTTTCTTGAACCAAACCCAAATTGTAAAGTGAAAGAAATTATCATACCTTTTCATTTCTGATATCCTCTGCATCCAAACTAACAGGCGTTTCCATGGCAAAGAGGGCTAAGATTTGAAGCAGATGATTCTGCATTATATCTCTTATTATGCCGTAATTGTCGAAGTACCTGAATTAAACAAAAGAGAAAAATGAGGAAACATAAGATTTCAATATAGAAGAAACATTAATAGCAAGATAATGGTAAACAGGCACTTTACCCTCCTCGTCCTTCAGTGCCAAAATCCTCAGAAAATATAAATTGCACGTTCCTTATGTACTGCCTTGACCATAGCGGCTCAAATATAAGGTTTGAGAATCGAAGGACAGATAAGTTCTCGACTAGCTCTTTTCCTAGGTAATGGTCTATCCTGTAAGAAGACAATTAATTATCATATCAGTAGAGCATCCAATACCATCAACGTTACAACAACAACGTTATAAGTGCAATATCTCTCACCTAAAAATTTGATCTTCCTCCAAATACTGCTTAAGGGATTTCGTTAAAGCAGCAGAGGTTTCAGAATCTCGACCAAAAGGTTTCTCGACAATGACCCTAGTCCATCCACTGACAGATGAAGCAGATGTGCTTGCACATTTCACAGCATCAACAAATATATTTGGAGGGATAGACAAATAAAAGAGGCGATTTGAGATTCTTCCAGCCTGCAGAAAATAATTAGGATAAGGAATCAATGCAATACGGTCGAAAAGAAGCCGAAAGTAGAAAAGATCAAATGGCAGTGGAACACATCAATACCTCATGTTCCTTGAGCTTCTTGTCCAATTCAGTAAAATGTTCTTGAGAATCATACTGACCAGAATGGTAAAAACATCTCTTGAGAAATTCTTCCATCTTTTCACCACAGTTTGCCCTGAAATCCAGATGGAACAATGACATAATACTCGAAGTTAGTAATATTTACAAAACCATCTCCAACTGAATAGGAGCATAAAGAATTGTATTGACAAGCTCCGAGAAAAGAATCCGTCTTTAAACTAAAACCGGAAATTTCAGGAGCTGCAATTGCTAACCTCTTATCAATTCTGCAGGTAAGGGTTTTGCTGACCATGTTTCTAAGTTCAGCATCTGTCATCTTACTCCTAGAATAACCAAATATCGTAAAATGCTGCCACACAACAAAATCAAGTTGTCAATCACTAGACTTTAGTGTGCAAAACACACACACACACACACACACACACACACTCAAAATAGCAATCATATAGAAGAAAATCATCTTCTTTGGCAATACCTCGGGAAGACAGTCTTCATAGTAAAGGGCGAAAAGGGCCGGGAAAATCTTCTTCTTGGCAAGATCACCGGAGGCTCCAACCACCGTGATACTAACCGTTGACTGGCTTTGACCATCAGATTCGACTCCGACCTTGGCTGCTTCTTGAGATAAAGCTGATAGCACCTCATCTTGCAATCCCTTAAGAGAAGATTTACTCTCTGCTGAATTTGAATTGGCGATTATTGCACCTAAAACCCAATATAAATGTCAGAACAACCCCTCTACTACTGATATGAATATCACATTTAATTTACAGATTCACCGACCGATTCCATGAGTATTGAAACAGAGATTCAGTGCAGTTAATAAGCTTTGTTTTTAGGTTTGGTCAATTTCTATCTGAAAAACAAAGAGAGAATCGAACTAACCATCTTGCATAAAGACAGAAGCACGACCAGATTTCCTTTGGAATCTAAGACATAAGTCATGAGAATTCAATCCTTGAGGAGAAGCAGACAGGAACGAGAGTGATCGATGTCGGTCACCGTTAACCGGTGTAAAAGAAGCCGAATAACCGGAAAAGTATGATCGGGAGCTGACGGAGGAAGACAAAGACGCCATCGTCAAACTTACAGCTCCAGAGAGAATTAAGGGGCTAAAGATGAGATCTTTAGTTAAAAAAGGAAGAACATAAGAAACATCGAAAAGGATTTAAGGGGCATTACTGCAAATAAGAGAACCTTTTGAGATCTCCCAAAGGTTAAGTCTTTTTGTCTACTTAAAATTGCTCACTGGTGTGCTGGTATGGCTACGTGAAGGCCGTCTTCACAAAAATAATATTCAATTCTCAAGTGGATCTTTCTGATTTCTCTTTCTGTTCTTTATTTTCTGATTTCCAAAAATAAAGATGCTTTTTTTCTTTCTGTGTTTAGCTACTTTCGTATAGGATCAATTATGGTTGATGCAGATATAGTTGGAAGCAGAAGATTTTTGCTCTGTTTTGGGAACTTTTTCATTTCAAAGAAGTCAAAAACAAAAATTATGAGTTTACACTCTTACATTACAGCCGCAACTCTTGAAAAGACAGAGAATTTCCCATTTTTATCTCCCAATAGTGAACAAAAATCAAATACTCTTCTCAAACTACAATTGATAAAAACAGCTTAAGCTCGCAGGCCAATAACCTGGCACAAATTTCATCTCTCTCTCTCTCTCTCTCTCCCTAACATGATTGATTCTCTCTACCAACACAACAATAAAACTACCAAAAACTGTGATTTTGAAGAAGCTCAAAATTTAGAGAACGAGGGCGACTTTCTCATGAGATATCAGCGGAGATGGATTCGCAATCAAAGGCTCGTAATGGTCTGCTCCGCCACCACACCAACCTGAACCAGAAAGATGAATTCTATTACTACCAAGTCCAAATAGATGTGGAGAAAAATTACAAGACTTATCAAATGGTGTTTAGTTATTTACCTGTGCCTTTCATGAAAAGAAAGACTGGGACTTCAAGAACTTCACTTCTTGGTTTATGAGGAAGGAAGAACACACAGTTCTCTTCCTCTACCATCCCATCTGATCCATGCGCTTGCACCTATAACACAAACATTTCACAACTTTAGTTTAATGTCATTTGGAAAACACAACGAAAGTAACAACCTTGCTAAAGCAGATAACTACTCACCACATAGATTTCTCGTTTGAACTCTGTGGCAAGACATTCAATTGCTATATCATCTCCAAACGCAGCAGCATGTCCTTCTCGGTTCTCTTCTACAGATAACAATCCATCTTCCGTATACTGCAAGGTAATTATATCATACTCATCCTCTGTTGAGCCTGAAATCGACATGTACTTAGCCCAACTAAGTCCATCGTTCACCGGAAGACACCTCTCTCTGTAGATTGACTCTGCTGCAGTTTCTCTGCAATGAAGAAAAGTAATCAATAACCACTACACACCCCTCAAGGTTATATCTTTCTTAATCATAAGAAGAACGATAATGCTACATTTGCTTCCTAATTCCCATATTCTTAAGCATCAAGATCCATTGCCAACAGAGCTTGTGATAGAAACATAAACCAGATCTGAATCCAGAATTAGCAAAAGTACCTCTGCATCCCAGTCTGTATAAGCTCTTCAATGGCGGAATCTAGACTCTCACGTTCATCTTTTTTCGCCAACAACTTCTCTTCCTGGACAATATGAATCCCCCAACCACTCTTCAGATCCGGCGAATACATATGCCTAATCGCATCCGTAATAACCTCCTTCTCTTCCTCGTTCGCAGATCTGAAATCCTCCAAAAACCTCCTCACCGTACGCCGCCGAAGATCTCGCGCGTCAATCCCACGCGCCTCCATAGCCTTCTGAGACGCCGTGAACAAACAGTTCCCATCGGAAGAAACCTCTCCGCCGTGAGAGAGACGGAAAACGACAGAAGCAGAGGATTCATCTTTCCCGGGATGTTTCCACAACACACCTCTCGCGTGTAGCCGGCTCAGATGCCGTCTTTGCGACTCCTCCAATCCAAACACCTCATCCCACGCGGTGGTAGTTGAGGCGGCCATTTTCTTCTCAACCGCTTCCACCGCCGCAGCAGCCGCGGATTGGTCAACAAGATCCACATCGTCGAGAGACACGGCGGCTGTAGAAGGTTCTCTCCAAGGAACCGTTGGTGAAGGAGATTGAAATGTCGCCGTGGAATCACACAAAAGCTTTCCCATTTCTTAAAAGATTATTACCAAAATCTGCAGATGTCGTCTTCTTCTTCGTTCTCTTTCTCCTTTCAAACAAAAACCGCAAGAAGAAGAGAGAGAAACAGAGAAGAGGAGAGAGAGAAATATACAGTTATTGGGCTCAACGGCTAGATATGGGAGGTGAGAGAACACGACTGTTGAAGTTAACGGTCAGATCTGAGGAGACTAAACGCGGGAGAGGAAAAAAACACGTGGCGTTATCTTAGTGGCTTACTTTAACCCGCTCTGACTAACGAATGGCTGAGGATTGACCGTGTTCCGGTGGACCACGCCACTCAAAATATTTACCCTAATTTTCGTTTTTTTTCTCGTTTTAATAATAAAATGTTATTTATTTTAAATTAAAATCCTGTCGTTTTATTAGCTGGCGCATCATACTCTAACGTGCATATGGTGCCTCCTTTTTGGTAGATTACCAATTATAGACAGACACATCAGCTTTAGTAACGGATTTGACCAATGAGAGAGCTTACTCACACGTATAAGCTGTGTCAGGGATGGGGCGAGCTGCGCCACATGTGCGGATTTGTCTTGGACGGCGTGAATAACGTCGTGAATCGCGCGTTAAAGTACGGGAACGGTATTTTTTTACCTGTAACGGCTAGTAAAAAGGAAATCTTTGCTCTTTCCTTTTTTTGCCTATTCGAGAGTTAAATTGGTTGAATAACCCGTAAGGATAAGCTGTTGTAGAATAAAGATCCAGAGTTAATGTTATAATATGGGGATATAGCTCCTAATAATGTATACAGCAAATGAAATAAAATGAGAATTGTTTTTTTTTTTTTACTTTGTCTTTGTTTTTATCTTGTACAAAATATCGAATTTTCATGTGAATCATATCTAATTTTTGAAGTGACTCTTTCAATCGAAAATAGTTTAGTGAATCCGATTGTTTTGGATGGCAAGATCGATTATGAAAGCCAAAAGAGCATTGTTTCCGAGCTGAGAATGGACAAATCCTGTTAGCAAATAATGAGGAAATTTTGGAACCACTGCGACCAAATATTTGATATTGAGTTCCTATAAATAGAAATATGAGTGAGTTGATCAATGTCATGACTCATGAGTGAAGATCTTAGGTTCCCAATAAAGCCAATGGCAAGTTTTTCCAAGATGACCATTAAAAAAGACAAGACAATCAATATTTCATACCTCTAAGTGCTCTCTTAAGCCAAGGATAGTTGTCGGGACATAAGCCTTTGGACGATCTTCACACCGAACTTTTAACCTTTGCATGTTATATTTACTTTTTTGACCATCTTTACATATCAACTAAAAATCACTAATTAAGTAACAAACAGAGGATGCAATTTCAGTTCAATAGGCCTGAATATTGGATTGTGTGATCAGAGTATGATGGGTTTGTGTTTGAAAGCCCAGATATAAATGGGCCTAAAGTTTATACCCCGATAGCCCAGGAACACATATAAATACACAAATCCATACGAATCCTAAAAAGGAAAAAGAGCATCTGTAAGAAGACAAGCTAATCATTAGGAGCAGCTCTGAATGAATGATTTAGAATCTTGGTAATAGATTTGCTATTAAGAAATTAAGAATTTTTAACTACCAAATGAACACTTATTAGCAAAAAAAATGTTCAATGGTCATAACTCATAACATATGCAGACACTATTATTGACCGATAACAAGACAAACAACAGAAGATATATGTGATTAATACGTGTTTATCAATATCCAACTGTTTAAGTATTTCACACATTCTTCTTGATTAATACTTAAAAACCCAATAGTAATAAATGTATAAAACTAATCAAAACTACCTTATTTCTTTTGTTTTTAACATATGATGAAATAGCTTCCATTAATTATATATACTGTAACAGCATTTCTTCCCCTGTAAAACATTTTAAATAAACAGTGATAAAGATTGATAAGACATTTTCACTATGCCCGAGTATCCGCAACTTGACTTGACTTGTACAGATTCTTATACGTTTATAAACAATATGCATTAAATTAATGAAAACATACCATAATGCTAAATTATTTTACCAATGTACTAGATTTTAACCCGCGGTACACCGTGGGATGATTTAATTTTAAGGTTAGTATAAAAATATTTTGTAAATTGTATCTCTTTATAACATATTTACTAGGATCGGACCCGCGGTCCACCACGGGAGAATATTGGTTTACATACGTTACGTTTAATATTGTGTGTGTTTTTTAGTAGAACGAATCGTGTAGTATACTTATAAATATTCATAATAACGAATTGTAGAGAAAATGTAAAATTGTTTATAAATATACTCATCGTATTAATTATGATTTACAAAATAGATTTTGTGTTTAAAAATTCTAAAATTATACGATTCATGGGAATTAGAGCAGTCAAAATAGGTCAAAAAACCGCGAGTCAAACCCACATCATCTCACTATGGGGCAGATTTGGGAAAATATATTAAACCCGCAAATAAGCAGACCACATGGATTAATTCGCAGTGGGTCATAGGTTTAATCAGTTTTCATCCGCGGGTTGGCGGATCAGCCCGCATATTAGTATTTATTGATAAAATTATAATTTATTCAACATGTGGTAATTTAAATAAACTTTTAATAGTATTTTGATTTATTTATTTATTTTAGTAGTATTTTAAATTTTGGTTACTTTAAAATTATTAAACAAAATC